GGAGCAGTAAAAATTCCTAATGATTAAGAATTTAAGAAACATGCTCTTGTAAAGAACAATATGAGAATTTGTAAATATTTAGATTACTTATAGAATAGTAATAACATACATATTTATTCATAAATTAATCAGAGAAAGAGAGAAATATATATATATTTCAAACAGTTGTTTTTACGTAGTTTACTTTGAAATTAAACGAGATAACATTTTTATTTTCATATGTACGCCATTAAAACGAATACAATTTAGATTGCGTTATGCGCATCATGGAACAAATATACAAAAAGCAATTAAACTTAATACTTTATCCATCCAGTATGCTAGCAGTAACCTTTTAGCGAATGTTATACGTACGCGTGGTAGAAATTCAGCAGTGCATATCAATTAATTAATTGCTCGATGAATTGATCCATTGACAATATCGATGCTGCATGTGTTAGGGTTCAATTAGTGATTGGATTCACAAGTTTGGGATAAATGGTGACACAATTTATCAAATAATCGAAATGCAATCGATAAGCAGCGAAAAAAAGCAAATTGTATTAATTGTTGCATTTGCCAAATTAATGTTTCGTTACTCGCTTAATTGGAAAAATGTATTTATAGAACAACAATTATTTAATAATCTTAATTAAATCGGATTAAATAAAATTTAATAGTATGTACTGTATAAATTGCATTAATCGACAAGATATTTTAATTTTAAAAAAGATCGAAGAGAATTGTTCCGTTTCGACGGAATTGGCATGTCTGCATCGAGACTTCTGATATAGCATAATTAATCATCGCGTGATTTAAAGATACAGGAGGAAATCTGCTATGTATCGAGGGACATATTATAGGTTTTCCATTTACGCCCACGTCACCAAATGACGTTGGTTGTTCTAGTTTCGAAGTATTGATACACGTCGATAAAATTATGTCAAGCGGCTGAGATTTTTTTCTCAAGTTTCACGCGCGAAGAACATCCATAAAATCATGTCGTGCCGAGCTTTCGGAGGGGAAATGACGAAACTTTTATAAACGCCTCGAACTCTTATTCGAACGCGATCGGGAATGCAAATATCGTGCATGACTAAGCGCGTCCTGTATCCTGTTTTCTCAAGGATATGCATCGAGCTCGATTGATGTCAAGCATGTTATTCATTCAATAGATTATGAATTGAGATGAATCGAGATGTAACTCAATACATTCTGTTTAAAATGTAGTGGAGATCAAATGAGCATTCTGGACTCAGGAAAGATTTTCTTGTACAGTATAATCTCCGCTTCTTCTTACACGCAAGGTCTATCAGGCGAGAAATTGATACGTTATTAATCGAACGATCTTCACATTTACCGATAAAATCTTCCTCGGCAGAAATTAACGTCTTTGAATATCAAGTTTTAACAATATCTCGATAACTAAGATTAAAAAGATTTCAAAGACAATGTTACTTTAAACGAAGAGTATCGGTCTGTCAAGTTTCGATAAATATCTCGGTAACCAAGATTTTAAAAAATTCGTCTAAAGGCCACGTTACTTTAAACAAAGAGTATTTGTCTTTGCTCTGTTTTAGATATCTTCCGTAAAGGAAAGTTGAGAAATTCACGCTCGACGTTTGCAGTCCTGATGACATCTCTTATGTTAATCCTATAGCGAAATGTTTCTCCCCGTCGACGAACCGGCAACAATCAGATGCAGAAGGACAAATGCTTCCGGCACGTCCGCGCAACTTGTTGATATTCACGCCTCTACGTCGAGTTTATCGATAGCCACGGCCGATAGTTCGCGGACTATCGAATGGTTCTGACGTTATCACTTCCGCTCCGCCAGCCTCTGCAGACTCCGGCCGCGCGCCACGCAAATGATAACGACGTCATAATATCGATAACGAAAATAACGGCAAGGCCGCCCGCTGCGAGACGAGAATCCGCGAAGCGTGCATCGTCGGGAGAAAGGAGGATTTACTGGCGGCTAATTAATAGTTAAACAGAATTTAGTAGGATTAATAAAAGGACGTTTGTTTCCTCAAACAGCGTGTCGCAGAAGCAACGCGGTGATCTTTTTTCCTTAATTTCTCGATAAACGACCGCTATTTTGCATGTTGCATTTTATTTTGCAAAAAATCCATCAAAATACTCTTTTAATTTATACAGTTAATTTACACAGTATAATTAAGCTAATGAAATCTTGTTACAGCAAGCTCTATTTATGAAACTAATTATCGTATGTTTAGTTATGTAAAGGTACAATTAACATAACAATTAAATTTATAAAATAATACAATATAATATAATGTAAAAGTAAAGATATATAATTTGTCAAAGTTTAATGTAATTTGTGAAAGAGTTCTATATGTTAATTACAACATGCGGGTTAAATAGAATACACAAGTAGCGGAATGTATTCTCGTTAATTAAACCAGAATTCCTGGATCACAACTATGTGGATGTGATCTGATTCGTACAACTCAGACATGTCCAACTCACAGCACACTCCTATCTAATGTTCTAGCGAATCGGACGAGGTATAAATTATTATGCATTTACGTCTCACAAGATATAAACTGAGAAGCAACGAAGCGAAATCCAATTATGTTGAAGGACGAGATGATGCTCGCAGTGTTCATCTTCCTTTCTGGGTATCTCTATGAAAAAGTTAATTGCATCAACAATTACGATTATAATATGAATATTTAACACTAAATTCATTCCTCAAATCATAGTGCTGACTACAAAGAATTAAGTCACGGATATCCGTATTTTGCCATAATAAACACGCAGAATGTTTTGCGATCTGATGAATCCCGAATTGACGTTTTTCTTTAACGAAAAATGCAATTGATCGCGATATTATTTCGATAACTTTTTTGAAATATAAATTCAGAGGTCTATCGAGCAGAATTTAAAATTAAATGGATGATAATATTACACTATCTGTGCCTCATCCAGTTTCACAACTCATGGTTAACTCTTAACCCAGGTTCAACTTGTTTCTCATCTCTTTCCAATTCTAGAATTGAAGAGAGATAATGAATAAGTTAAACCTCGGTTAAGAGTTAACCATGAGTTGTGAAACTGGACTTAAATCGCAAGACGGAAGATATTTGGTCGTCCTTAATCGACCGTAATGCAGAATTAGTAATTCGTTTTGTCGAGCTTGTGTCTTATGATAGGAGTGCCTCGTATGTCGGTTTATTCTCGCTTGTGCTTCTCAGATACGGAAACTTAGACGACGGTTAGGCAACGTTGTCACGAGCGTCTCTGAAAAGTCTCCGCGTCTCATCCTGCCCACAAAGCGAGGTCTCATAACAACGTTCTTAAAAGCGTTTGTATGTTACACTCGTTAAGGTGAATGAAGTTGAGGCGTTTCATGACCACACAAGCTTTCGCGATCATAACGGCACCAATAGTTATAAGCTCTCCAAGATGAAGTCATGATTTTTTGCGAGGCGCTCCGATTTTTTGTGACAATTCCCGAACCTGTCATCAAATTAAATTTAGGGCTACAGTGAACGATGTTTCTCACATCTAAAGGTTTTCAAGGAACGCACAAAAGTTAACAAAAAATCAAAACGACTTTATATTCTTTTAAACTGTTCCAACAGAAATAGCAAAGGTTGCAATTCATTGGTTACGCGAATGTGTAATACACTCTATGGAACATATGGAAATGAATTTCGCCTTTGGTTACACAATACGCGTTGTGCAAAAAATCTATGCCATGAGCACCATAAATTACAATAATACTTAAAAACAACTCCTACGCAATGAATTTACTGCCGTCCATTGTTATGAATATCGCAGGAACAATGATGCGAGAAAAATTTACCGGAAACTCTTAGAATAGATATAATATCTCTCTTCCTCTTAAATATTCAATTCTATATTTTATAGTATTATTATACTATAAAATGCGTTATTTTCTATTATAATGCTTCTTATTACTTTTACATTATTCTGCTATTTGTTGGTGTGCTGTGGTGCAGCTGAGATTGCCGGTTACAGGAAAACGGGTCCGAAAGAAATATAAAATACTGTCCTCACTCTTTCTTTCTTTCTCTCTTTCTCTTCTATTGTACTAAAAAATATAATATGACGTCAAACATACCACGTATTCGTGAATGGTATCTAATAAATATTAAACAGACAATCTATCATATTAACATACGAAACATGCATTAAATTGTCGATAATATTAAACATTAATTCATTGATGGAGTACCATTAATACTACCGATTTCATATTACACGTAAAGGGTTACAAAATGGATTGGTCACGTTTATGTCATACCGAAATTATTAATCCAGAATTGAAAGGATTTAATGCCAACCGACCCACTGATGTAACGCTTTAAATTTCTAAATGTCGTTTTGTATGCAAGAGGATAAAATATCTTTGAGAATATGAAATGGAAGATCTGACACATAGTAAATGATCAATGTCTCTCTCTCCAAAAATATTATCTTATATAAGTAAGAAGGCAACCAAACTAACAGCACTAAAGTAAAGTTTACATTTATGAAAACATTTATGAGATACAAAGAAAACGTATCATTTCGTTTCGTTGTTTCATTAAATATGTTTGAATATTTAAATTATTATTTAGAAAATAGATTTGTTGCGGATTTTTGTTCTTAATCGTGATACCTTATTATTTCATTTTATTATTGTTATTTATGCGTCTTGCAATTTTTCTGTGTCAAGTCTTCAAGGTAATTTTCATTTCTTTCTCTTTTGTAATGTAAAAGAGCCATTTAAGTTAAATGCCATTTAAGTGACTGAAAGTAATGCTGCGTCGAAGCAACGATTCAAACAATTCAAGCAAGTGAACTTTGAAATCGTCTAATAGTTCAAGAATTAAATCGAACTCGTGCGATAACCATCGATGGGCCGGAACGTATCGTATATATCGTGCAAAGACGACATCCAAACGGAGTCACTCTCCAGCCTCCGTGATAGAAGAGCACGTCGGAAGGATCGTGCGTGCACTTTAAATAGAGAAAATTGTTCTTACGCGTGTACAATCGAGAAGAACGAGGGACACGTGGTGGAAGCCTCGCGGACTTCGTCCTTTCTTTGTTTCTCTTTCTCTTTATCGCCCCCTTCTCCCTGTACCTCTCCTCCTTTTCCTACTCTGTATCTCTGGCCCCAGAGAGAAAGCACTTAAGCCAAAAAACTTAATTTTTCAGTAGAAGAACTTGCGTATACAAATTATATAAATAATTTTATATGTATATCGTAATGTATAATATAATTATATATAATTATATATTTAAATAATTTTTTTACATATACATATGATTATTTAGTGACAAAATATATTTGAATATATACATAAACATTTGTTAATTTTTTAATAGAAAGGTAATAATGACAACATTCGATATCATATTTATACTTTTAATAATATTAAGCTTTACTGAATTTTTATTATACTATACTCTTATGTATTAAAGTTATAAATTATGTTTTATTATATCGAGAATTGTATAGTGATTCAAAATGCAATTTATCAATTGCTATCGTAATATATACCCGTTTATTATTTTGAACAACAGAATTAATAATGTAACTAATTATAGCTAACACATAAATTTGTTAAACAAATTAGTCGGAATTAATCGGGATTATTTGTATTATATAAATACAAATACATGAAATCACTTTGTTTAATATGTATGCATTTGAAAAAAGAAACGGAAAATTTGCGAATTACTTGTTTTAGAAAGGACAATTTCAAATTTATGTTTCTCAGTAAAATACAGGATACATAAATGTAAACGTAATCATACAAACGCAATTAATTAACATCTTATCTATGCTTTATCTGATATTTCTGAGTCACTGGAATTTATTATTCAATGATTTACGAATTTAATTATGTATGTATATTACGGTGACCATATTTTCTTAAAGAAAATAAAGGACAAATCTGAAAAATTTAAGTTTATTAAGTTAATTTAATTTGTCTCTATATATTTTTAAACCAGTTCGTGATTGTCAAAAATGTCGTGATTGTGCATTAGAACATTTTATTGCACAGTATAATTAAATAGAGATTTAAATAGAGACAGTTTTCTGATAGTTTGAAACTAGTTCGACTATATTGGAACAAGCCTTTGATCTGAAATAATAAAAGATTCGAAATAATAAAAAATGAAAACAACTCTAATTTGAATAAATTTAATTTAAAAAATTAAGAAATATAATTGACAAAAACAAATTGTATTTATATGCATAAAACTGTAAGATATTTTCCGTAAAAGTTTGCTCATTGATTTAATATAGACATTAGAACACTAGTTAGAAAAGAATTTCCCATGTGTCAAAATAAAGGACAGTAAACAATATTCGAGAATAAAGGACAAAATTGAATTTTGAAGAAACAAATAAATCTAAAGGACAGCTAAAATAAAGGATCGTCCTTAAAAGATCGTCAATAAAAGATGTATGGTCACCGTAATGCACAAACATAAATTTATTTAAAGAAGATCATTTTTGTCACACGTTGCCCTTTCCAAAACAAATACTTCCATTATTGTTATTTACTTGGCGATTGTGTGTTAAGTGCTCTCTCTTTTTTCTCTCTCTCTCTCTCTCTCTCCTCTCGAGATCGAAGATACTAGACCCTTTTCTGCGTATCAGCCTCTTTCTTTGTCGCCCTCCCTTTATCGCTTCCTTTTTTTCCCCCGCAAACTGAGCGCGACCGAGTAGCACGCGATCCGACGGAGCAAACAGGTGTTCCCGCGTGGAATGCGCGACCGCATACTGACGCCGCGACGCTGACACGCGGTGGCAGGTCAGTCTCTCCCCTTCGGGGACTCCCCGTTGTGAGCTCCGGTTCTCTTCGGCGCGCGCGTCCGCAACCCCGAGAGCACATCGATGACGCACCATACGCTTGCGAACTTTATTCCCGAGCCAAGAAAACAAGAACGTTTTATCCGTTTACATGTGAATATCGCCGTAACATTCAATATAATTTATTATTTGTTTGTTTTTACGCGAAATTTTTTGGGAAAGCTGTCTAAATTTGTAAAAGCTCAACTTTAATTCTCTCGGATAAATCTAAAATCGGATTGTTTCCTAAGTAAGAACATATAATTTTCGAATTTCAAGCGATTGAAAAATAATCTTTATAAAATAAACTTCTTGCAGTTATAAAGCGCATGTAATTAACAACTCAAATTAATTGATTTATAATTTCGCGTTAACGAAATTTTATCTAAAGATTTAAATACAAAAACTTATAGTATTTAAAAAATATATGTAAAATATCTAATAAAAAAGTAAAAATAAGAAAACTACGATCGCACGAAGCTAAATAAATTCGAAATGGAATTCATAAATAACGACAGATTTCATGTTAACAATGATTTTAAGAAAATTTTCTTATAAAGTTTTTAGTAAACAGGTATCAAAAATTGTGTTAATAAATATATTTTCAAAATCATATATACTATCATTAATATATAATATCATTAAACATATTGCATGGTTTATTAATTATGAAACAATTTTTTGTTTATATACATACTCTTTAAATATTTTGTAGTGAAATCTCACTGTAAAGAGTGAAAACTGAGCCGTCTTGAAAAGAGTCTTGAAAAAGAGTGGCTCAATTTTCTATCCTTAAGAGTGAGATTTCACTCTGCAATGTGAGAATCACGTTTTAAAGAGTACATATATATATATATATATATACACATTTTTTCCTCTTAAACATTATATAATATATATTACTATAATTATTAAATTATATTAATATAACTTATATAAAATTTTAGTCGTTTTTCAGTTAAGTCGGTTTTAATTTTAAGTTGACTTAATTATAGATTATAATATTTTCTAAATATCATGCACTTTGACGTTTAAAAATAAATGTTAAGGATTAAAAATAATAATCTTCTGCTAAAATAAAATTGTTATCATTTCCTTGAATGAAAGCGTTTCTAAATAATAAAAAGATTTATTGTCTTTTTATCCCTGCATTAGTACACTAAACTTTTTTTTGCCAAATATCAAATATATACCTATTTCAAGTTTCAAAAATATACACTAGTTCGACTAAAGAAAACGGATCCATTGATTAATTTTTATGCTAGAGGAGAGATATTAGAAATCTATTATACCGATCGAGAACGACCTGATGATATTGCATATAACAGCTGTTGATTGTTTAACTCACGTGTGTGCGTAAAACACGTGGCACAACTCACAAACTCACGAAATCGTTATAAGATTACATAGATTTGTTTTACAACAAATTTTGCAATAACAAAATTTGCGCCAATAAATCCATTTTTTTATTTGGAAACTACGTAGCTACCTAAGTAGCACAATTCATTGGCGAAACATTGGTTAAACGTTGACACACATTGGGGATATGTTGGACCAACGTTACGCCGATGAATTGTGCTACTAGGGTAATTACTAACGATAAAATCGTGGTGTAAAAAAATAGATGTGGTGCAAGTCCGTGTTAAATTGGGGTATCAAAAATGGATATGCATAGATGTCAATCCGTACTACATCTATAATTATGATTTTAACCGTTTTATGTATCACAAACTCGCACCTATACATATCCATTTTCGACATCACGAATTAACACGGACTCGCGTATCACATCTTCAATACCACCTTCAGGAATCCTATAAGGAGTACGTAAATCGAGTTAGCGAGTCTCTTGGAGATTCCCAACCTTTTTTGGATGTGGTTTCTAGGCCACCGAATATTTTTTGATCATTACTTTATTGTATATATTTTAGAATATGTTAAGCAATAATATGTTAGTAATTAATAAAACTGAAATAATTGTTGAAATATTGCATAATGTTGCAGCAATATGTATACAATATTTCTCTAAAATCTAAAATATTGCAGCAATATTTCATTTTTGTGGACATAAGAATATTGCTACAATATTGCAACAATGTTTTATGAAATATTGCAATCTTTCAAAATAATATTGCTGCAATATTTCGTGCTGTATAGGGGAAGTATAGTCTTAAGCTATTGAGGCTTAGTTATTTTATTATATAATTAATATTTATTCTATATTTAATAACATATTATAATTTCACTGATTATTGCGTTTTACATTTATTTTTTTTTAATCAATTGTGCGAGATAATAATGAACAATGTCGCTGCGCTTGGCTTAGCGCCGAGACACTATCGTGTCTCCAGATTAGTAGATAAAGTTCAGCAACGCTCAATTCTTTATATATTTAAAGAAATTTTTGAGTCATACAGTGACTTATCAAAACGTAAAAGGAAAGTATGTCAATATCGTGGACGTATTAGGGAGAAAAGTATTGAGCGCAGGTGACTGAACGGAACCCTCTTTTACTCAGACGTCTGCTTATATCCTCCACAAGCTCTATTAAAGCTTTTCTCGAGCTATTAAGTATCAATACATGTAGCTATCAACAGTACACCGATAATGTTTCAATGGACGATATAGAGCCTTCTCTATCTCATTAGTAAAGAGAATCGTAAATCTGTCTGCCTTTGTAATTTGATAAATAAAATTATGGAAATTTGTGGAAAATAACAGTGATCAATTCTGCATACATATATGTTTAATAAGATTTTTAATTGATTTAATAAAATCAATTGAATACGTACGAGTGAGATAAATGTCGAAGGTGACTGAACGGGATCTTCTTTTATCCAAACTGTTTACATCTTCATGCTATCAAAGCTCTAAGTATCAATACTTCTCCGTTCGCGTGCACATAACTAACAACGGTACATCAACAATATAACGATCGATAATATCGAGGTTTTTTTGTTTCGTAAAAAAGAGAATCGTAAATCTATCTCCCTTTAATCAGTTAAATAAGAAAAAATAACGCTAATCTTGATATAACTTACAGTGCTGATGCAGTTTCGTGGTACGTCTTACCATTCTCTTTGAAGTGCAATCTTTCTTATATGTCTGTGTAGTTTGTCTATAGTCATAACAAACCTGAATTATTGCCCGTTTCAACTAAACTCTATCGAATGATGTAGACTATAAGATTAGCTATTAATTTTTTAAAGCCTTGATAGAAGATACGTATAAGACGAATGACAGTCAATAAAATAATAGTTCAAAGTAACGACAATACAAGATGCAATTCTTTAAGAACAGTTTGGAATTGACTTGGTAAGGTAGAAGATAAAGTCTCTTCTCCTGACTTGGTATCATTAGTTGTAAAATGGTTGTATCAAACGTATTGGAGACATTGACAGATATTTCTAAAGAATATTTCTTATTTCAAAGTCTTTTAACAGAAAAATTTTTCCTTAAAACTCGCAAATGTTGCGACTGGAAATTTCAATACAATATAAACGTTTCTTATAGTTTTTATATAAAGTGTAATAATCTTTGAAAGGAGGATGGGTAAAATTATCTGATTTTAGATTAAAGATGGAACTTTTCTTATGTTTTTTTTTATATTTTTTGATATGCTAAATCATTTGTAAACATTTATTTCAAGCTGATCTGATGAAAACATGTTAAAAATAGTATTAAAAGTAGCACAATTTCGTCAAAATCTGATCTTTGATTGTAATTTTCAATACTTTTCCATTACTTTAGCATTTCTTTTATTTAAAATTAACGTTTGTAAATTCAGCACATCAAAAAATATGAAAAGCATATATAAGAAAAGTTCTAGCACATAAAAAAATTAAAGAAAACGTGCATAAGAAAAGTCAAATCTATCGTTTAGATCAAAATCCGTAATTTTATCTATCCTCCTTTAACATTTTTTTACAGATGCTTGAAATATATTATTCTAAATTTTCGTTATGATAAAAATCATAATGTGACTTATTGTTAATATAAAATTGAAAAATTTAATATAAACACAGTTTTAAAACGTTAATATTATTGGACTAATCAATTATACTTTAAATATCATTGAATTTTAAATATTTTTTAATTGTAATTATTATTATTATTGTTAAAATTGCAGGAATCTTTAGTTTGTAAAGAAGGTATAAATAATGTTGAGAAGATCAAAATTGGCGAAAGATAATGTTCTTTTTTTTAAAGAACAAACACATTGTGTTTTTTATAGATAAAACATATTTTTAATACTTAATATACGTTTTAAAGTATTATAAAAAAAACATGTTTAAAACATGTTAAAATACCGATTAAGCATGTTTTAAACAGTTTAATACACGTTAAAATTTTTACCAACCCTGGAGAAAATAGAAAATCAGAGGTATTTCATTTCACTAAAGAAATTTTAATTTCTTTGCGTTGGGAATTTTAAATTAAGAATAAAAATTTAAATTTCTTTGATATTTAAATAATTGAATTTTTTCAGTTCGAAGTCTTTTCAATTTCTTTAAATATATTTGAAGTAGGTATCACGATAATTGATAAAAGGTTGCAAGCATGCATACCACACGTAGGTATATCAGCATGTCCTTTGAACTTTGCTCATTAACCGTTGGTACATGTCTACAAAACGCGGCACATTCATGTACTACTGATCAGTTTGTGTGCCTTGACGATCATGTACTCATGATAAGCTTGTATATAAGCCATATCTTTAATTATTTAAATTGGAGAATATATAATGAGAAGCTTAAGCGAAGCAATTAATAACTGGATTTGACGCTGTGCAAGGTACGACCTAGAAAGAACTTGCATATCATTAGATAAAGGACAAGATCAGAAAAGTAATTTATATGTATATACAATAAAACACATTAATTATAACACATTAATGTAATAATACAGGGAAATATCGCGTTACTTGTAACATCGTTATCGTTTTTCATTACTATTTTTCGGTAATAATTGTTACACTTTTCTGCCTATAACGATAACATAAAATTTATCCACGAACAGTACGATGCCGCTACTAGATGGACACGGCGGTGCTGCATTTTCTCGTAAGTAAAATCGATAGAATAAGAGGTATAACGATATAAAATTTTTTAATTTATGTTTTCATGAAATAATTTTTTGACGGCAAGCTTCCTTATAAATAAAAGGGGTTTGCCTTGAAATTTAAACAAATTAACGATTCTACAATTATTATTTAAAAAAAAACTTAAAAATTATAAAGAACAAATATCAACAATTTTAAAGGTTTACTTTAAAATAATAATTATAAAATCATGAATTTGTTTAAATTTGCTATTACTTTAAACAAAAGTTTAAAGTGTCCAAATTTATATCTTTTATATTTCTTAGATTTTCGCTTCTGTTTTCTTTACCGTAAGTTTTTTTTAAAGGTTTTTCTAAGATAAATTTTCCCAAGGTTGTAATTCCAACCCTTTTGCACCTGAATATTACATATTATTTTTACAACATCAAACTTTATATTTTAATATTAAACTTTTCAAAATTCGTGCAATATCTATATACCTGCAACTCCCTTATAAGCATCAATACTGATAGCTAACAACATTCTTTCAATCGACATGAAGCCTTCTTTATCTCATAAATAAAAAGAATCGTTAATTTTTTATAAGTTAGCAGACAAGTTAAGAAAAATTGTGGAACAGCAGCGATTAATTCTGCATATATGTTTAATAAGATTCTTAAACTGCTTGATTTAATAAAATTTAAAAGAAAAACATATCAATATTATAGTATATACATATATATAAATATATATATATTATATATATAGACATATTATACATATACGAGCAAGATAAATGTTGAGCACAGATAACTGAAATGGACGCTTTTTGTTTAGACGTCTGCTTATATACCTTCACGCTACTAGATCGCTAATTGTAAGTATCAATTATACCTATTCGCTCCTGCACAGCTAACAATCAGTGTTGCGCTTAGATAATTAAAAATTATCTTAGATAAGATAAAGATAATTTTGCTTTAATTTATCTAGATAAAGGATGAAATTATAAGTCCTTTTATCTACATAATTTTAAGATAATATTACTTTTAAATATTAACTATTAAGTACAATTTAGGATATAACTTTAGAATATAAAAAATATATATTCATATTTTTATTTTTAAATCTTCACTTTTTAAAACAAAAGTTTTTTAAAACAAAAGTCTGATAAATAATTCCTACATGGATACATATTCTAATAATCTAGGTAAAGCAAAGATGAAGCTATTTCTTCATCTATATGATCATCTAGATAATTTTATCTAGATAATAGCAAACAACAGCTAACAACAATATATCGACAATATTACGATCGATAACATAGTATTTTTTCATCGCGTATGTAGTACAAGAAAAGAGAATCATAAGTCTGTTTACTTTCAATAAATTAAACGATAAAAAATAATGCTATTCTGATGCAATTCGCAATGCAATCCACGATCTTGCAATACGTCTTGCCATTTTCTTTGAAGTGCAATTTTTCTTATATGTCTATGGATAGTCGATAGCAAACCTGAATTACAGTTCACTTCGACTAAACTCTCTTGGATTATAGTTCATTTCAACTAAGCTCATTTTAAATTGGCCATAAGATTAATTTTTCAGAGGTTTCGATAGATATTACGTATAATACGTTAAAAACATTAACATTATTGGACCGATTAACAATTATATTTTGAATATTATTTAATTGTGATTATTATTATTGTTATCATCGTTGAAGTTACAAGAAAATTCAATGTTGTAAAGAAGATACATTATTGGGAACATATATAAAATCAAAGATATTTCCTTTTATTAAGAAAATTTCAATCTCCCTTCTACGAATTTTTAAATCAATTAGAAAAATTTAAATTTCTTTGGCATTTAGAAAACTGAATTTTTCTAGTTTAAAAGTCTTTCCGACATTTCTTTGAATTATATATTCGATGCAGGTATGAAGATGATTGATAAACGGTTGCAAACGTACCGCACGTACCAACGTTTCACTCGAATTCTGCTCACCATCTGTGGCTGTTGGTACATGCCCACGAAATCAGACAAATCCATGCATTATTACTCAATTTGTGTGCTTTTGACAATGATCATAATGACAATGATAACCTTGCATACGAGCTACATCCATAGACATAATTTGGGGAATATGATGAAAAACATAGGCTTTGCAATAACTGGACTTAGCGCTATTCTCAAGGTACAATCTAGAAGAAACATGCATATATATATATATATAATACACATTAATACATTAATATATGTACAAATATACATGTAACTACAATAATACGGTACACATTTAACTCGAGACACCTGAATACCTTGAAAAGAAAGCATCTTAATAAAAAATACGATAGATGAAAGTTGCATCTTTTAAAGGAGGACAAATAATTAAAAAATCAAATTTCGGAAAGAAATTTATTTTTCAAGGTCGTATAAAGAGCATCACCATTTTTAAAATAGAATTATATGATTTTTAAAGTATAATATATCATTTGTTTAATTATGCAAAAGTATTAAACCTAGGTAAAGTTATAATAAAAATGAATAGGTTTCAAAATATATACATATTTTATAGTTTATGTTAAAATGTGCCAGAATAATAAAGTATAAAATATCTCGTAAACTATTGATTTTTTGATAACTCTAACCTTAATATTTTAAATCAGAAACTCACAATGAGTCAATGTGAACCGACACAGGATATTCACGCGTAAAATATATATTAATAAAAGAAGTATAAATAAATTAGACCTTTCGATCCAGTTTTTGGGTCATCTTCAGTACAAAAAAGAAGATTAATAAATATTTTTTACAGTAAAATCATATATATTGAAATTCGACTGTTACAAATTTAAAATCGTAGTATTAAACGTGTTACGTCAATCTGTACGCAATTTCTCTGTTTTGCGCGAAGGAAAAAATATACATTTCTTCTTATCTTCTTTAAGGTGGTAAGCTTCACGATAAATCGCGGCTCTCTCATAAATTACCATCGAATACTGAATGATCTTTTCGAGGAGGAACTTATGCAGAATGATAAAATCCGGACAATAATATTTTCGTCTCTACATACGATGTACATTCTGACGTATGGATATTTCGCTCTTGCAACTACATTGATCTTATTATATTTTGCGCCCTCGTATCTTTTCATAATCCGCGGTTTCCTCCACTTCCATTTATCTACGAACTACACTCTACCAATCAGTAGGGGATACGGACATTTCTGGACCGTTCCTGACAACTTTTTGTATCATCTACATCTGCTTTTCGAGACGACTCTAACGGGACTCAGCGGCCTGATGGCGTGCAGCGTTGACAGCTTCTTTGGCTTCTATGTCTATCAGTTTACCTCGACAATGCGCGCCATGAACTTCAGGCTCACAAATCCTCTACCTACCGAGAAGTTCTTAGATTTGCTGAGGATGTGTGTGGCGAAACATCAAAGGTTATTGCGATGTCGCGACACGCTAGAGCATGTCTATGGACCCATTGTCTTTTGGCACATTGTCACCAACGCCATACTTCTTTGCGGGTTGATGTACGACGCAATGCCAGTATGTGAATACATTAACGTAAAAATCGATATTTAATTTTGTAATCCACTATGCTATGCGCGGTCGTAATTAGTCGTAAGATAATAAATATTATTACGCGGCCGTACAATTAGTGTCATCATGTCACGCTCATATAACGTCAGAATAAAATTAAACAGCTTTCAATTTTATTTTAGAGAATTTATTTTGGAAAATATTTGATAAAGGAATGTTATAGTTTTCTTATAAATCCTATAATTAAAGTAAAATAAAATGCTTTTTAATAACTTTAGCATCATTTCTAGAAACGAAGATTATGCTGCACTTGCAAGTTTTTCACTCCATTAAATAATTATATCGCATTACGCAAATATTCATTATTGTAATATTAATCGTTAAACATTTGCAATAGTTATCGGACTTTAAAGGCGTATCCATGTTTCTGACATACGCAGTAATAAAATTTGTGCAAACGTTTACGTACGCATGGTATGGCACTGTTCTCATAAATGCAGTAAGTTTCAATGATCTTGTGATGAATTAAATCAATTATTGTGATTCAAAATTAATTAATTAGGATATGTACGTTTAGAGTGAAGACTTTCGTAATGGAATCTATTTTGGCGAATGGTTTAATTCAAGTCTCGATCATCACGTGAGAACAAATGTTATTCTGATTATGATGCAAAAGCCAATGACTATAAACGCAGTTTACTCTCCAGTCAATATCACCATTTTCACCAATGTAAGTATTTAAATTATAATTGACCGAGTTTATCTCAGTAAAAGCTGATGACTTTCAAATCACTTTCAACTTTATTCACTGCCATCCCGGGAAAAAATGTTATACATATGGACATATTTTTTCTATATAATTATATATAATTTTATATAATTATGAAACATTTTTTCCCGGGACTCTTTTAAAAATAATACAAAGTTTTTTTTTTGTTAATATAAAAGCCTATAAAACGTTTTTTTATTGTATGTTAGGTTAATAAATTAATCACATATTATTTACGATCTATTATTGCTCATTATAGATAGGATTTTGTATTAACGAAACTTTGTTTTACAATATTACGAGCGTTGCTAATAGTTTTAAAAATTATTATACATATTCCATTTGTACGAAAATAGAAGATTTAAGACTTGAGATAATAAAAACACAAAAAATTTAAATTTGATACTTTTAAGAAAAAAAATTAAAATTATTTAAAAATGGAACCTATGTGTTATAGAATTAATCCAAAATGAAATAAAAAAAGAATTAATAGATTTTAATTTTGGTTCTAATAATGTCAAAATTTGAAGATTATTTTATTCGTAAAGTTGATTTCTTTAAATTTTTGTTGATTTTATTTTTTTTAAAGTTTAGAAAAGGCTGTATATTAACTGCTATGTATTTACATTCACATACCTTTTGCATACTAAACTAATTCTAATTGTTTTGTTTTCCTTGATAGTTCGTGAATGCTACAATGTCCTATTTCTTCCTGTTGCAATCTATTGGTGATAAAGACGGATAGAGATGGACGCTATGTATGTTTTGTAAATGATAGCAAATTCGTAAAATGATTACGTTATTAAGAGAATATAATTAAGAAGATACAATTAATGTAATTTATTAACACTTATATTGTTATTATATTAATGTTTAATCTATGTATTGTTAAACAATAGCAATATTATGATTCCATTAATTATTCATTTCATCTTCACTTTTCTCAAATGACAATTGGTGTATGACATAATTTATAGAATTTATCGGGTAAACTCATAGAAAGTTGAGAAATTCTCAATTCTTCATGCGTTTAATAAAATTTTGAAGTCGCACTAACCTAGTAAGATGTAAAAGGAAACTCACATAAGGGTATGTCAATATCATTGACCCCATACCGAGACACGCGGGTTCTTAAATCCTACTCCCCGTGGATCGAGTGCACATAATTCACCCCATTTTGGCTAAAGTAGCCCTATAATGCGTCATCCTCGATGAGCTCGAAAATCTTTTCGTGCGAAATATACAAAGATTTTTGTTACATCTATTATAACATGTGATAATTTTGATAAATTTTTGATAAATGTGACACGTGCAAGTTAAAATACTTAACATTTATTTTTAATATTTTAATTGTATTATCATCATTATTATCAAATTTAGTATTTTAATTGTATTATCATCAAATTTTTTCTTAACCTATTTCTACATATTATGATTAAATGTTACATGTCTTTTGAGTTCGAATAAATCTAAGATTTATGAAATACAAGAAATTAATGAAAATTCGAAAAATCGAAAATCAATATAAATATATAAACTTAGATTTTTCAACTAAGAAACAACATTTCTATTTACTAGCACATTTTCCAAACAACTTTTAAATCTCTGTTAAATATGCATAAAAAAAAATGGTAGAAAAATTTGAAGAGATAACATGAGTGAACTATGATCACGAACATCTCGAGAGTTTACAAATGGATTGTCTAGGGATGCCAGAAATATAAACGCGCCACTATCTCCCCTCCTCTTTATCATCTTATTTCCAACTTTCTCCATCTATATCATAGTTAGAGCCACGACTTAGAAAGGGACGCGAAACGGCTGGAATTAGTTACCTAATATTCCGAGTTAGAAACCTGGGATTAGTTGATCAAGCTATCAAGGGTTACTGATCCTTTTGTAGAAGGCGATTCGGAACGCGGAAAGTTCGACAGTGGATCATCGAAGGATCCGCTCGTGGAAGTCGCCAGTACGCAATTTACCGTGTCGATTCAAGACGGCGTCTTCTTCTTCATAGTCTGCGTCGTTGAGCGAAGATGGTTACGAGCCATAAATCTCAATCTTTCGCGCACCGATAGTAACGGCGTCTAGCCGTCCAGGTAGCCTAGATGAACATCATTTCGTCTCTCTCCTCTCATCTCTCATTGTAAAAGTTATTCCCGTGTGTCGCGCGATTAAAGTAGATTGCAAGGGCATCGAATCGATTTTTAAAGTCCATACGACGCTTAAAGTTTTTATCGAACGTCCTGCGTGCGAAATGACATAGATCGATGAAGTTTCGAGATTTTTAAGTAAAATGAGTTTTACACACAGAGAATACGTAATTTTTGACATATTAATTTCAAAGATAAATTATTGTTTACATTTTACGTGGAGGATGAGAAAAATGCTTGAGATGTTTGAAATATACCTTGGAGCGTAACTTATAAAATTTCTGTATATCTTATTTCGAAACAAATAGGATATCTTATACAATATTCAATTTTCGATTATTTTATAGCGATTCGATTGAATGTACTCAGTGTGCACTGGAATTAAAGCCGTTGTACACAGATTGACGTAAAAATGTGTGTTTAATATAAATAAATGGATTAAACCGCAAAATTTTCAACGCTCTTTATTGTATTGAGCAAAAATACATATTTTTAAACATTCAAAATATTTATATTTCACTTTTACACTCAAATTAAATCAATGTATAACGACTTTAATGTACATCAGTGCACATTAGAGCGTCCAATCGAATTCGCTATCACTTTTCTACTTTTATATACGGAGCGTCTAAAAAAAAAATAGAAACGGCCTTTAATCGTCTCTCTGAATTAACATTCAGATATAATAAAAATTCAACACAAAAATTTTAATAAATATCGACACAAATACGAAGTATTTTTATTGTGTATTTAAACTACAGATTGATCACTTAGAATATAATCGCGCGGACCGACATCAACTATGATGTCGCAATGCATTCTGCATAACAAACTCTGTTTAGGAGAGATCTAATTATAGTCTCACATACTATTTCGTGAGTTTATCCACCATGCTTCGTGATGTGAGGCATTCTCGAGTGCTTCCCAGGCCAAGCGGTGGCTCCGAGCGTATGAATATCAGATAAAGAGCTCTCATCGCGGACGAGCAAGTGCGGACAACACGATTAGATTAAGGTTTAGTATATTTATACAACTGGCGGTTCGCCTCGATTAACGTCATCTCGTTACCAACACTTCGTACCGTCATCTCGTTAATTCCGCCTCGCCGTCAGCCGTTTGTCATCATTGAGATAATTCGCACCGATTTAACCACCCTTGCGTTTTCGCATCTCGACGAGAGGGAATACGTATATCTGATACTTTACCTTCATTCGGTGTTCATCCGACCTTACGGTCCTCCGAAGCACTTCTGTGCTCGACGCGAAGCGTTTCCACGAGAACCTTAATATCACCAGGTGTATTATCCTTGCTTCCTTCTTTCTTTTCTTTCATGTCGTATTTCTTGCGAACCTCCGCAGCCGAAGTGCGACGCATGCGTCGGCTGGTCGTAGCCGCGTCCCCGACTCGTGAACTCGCGAAAATTCTCCAGTTGGCGCCGCGACGCGCTCGAAGGAGCTTTCGTACGTTCGACGAATATCCCGGGGAAGCGACAGAACTTGTCGCCTATCCCGTAATCGCGGGAGGAGAAAAAAAGGAAAAGGGCTCCAGGAGAGATAAACGAAAGGGAGTACGCGAGAAATCGTTTCCCTCCCCTCCTTTCCGCAAATTGCGCGTGCGATTCAATCGCGAGAGATGCTACAATGCAACCGACACGTATCGCGAGGTAATTATGGTATCATTATTGTTTGGGCCGTTTCTGATTCGTCAAATCGAGACGGCTAGAACTCGGCACGTGTTTTTGATCATCGGTGTACACAATGTGCACGTTCTATACGGCGCGCAAAGCGATGCAATTTGCCGCAGAGGATGCATGTTGAGCATTTCGTTCTAATTGATGAATAAAGATAATGGCCAATCAATTACATTAATTAGCGAGCTGCTAGGAGCTAACGTTAGTTTATTAGTGCATGTTTTTTTTATCATTTCTTAACTAAGATTATTGAGGATAAGTGAGAAATCGCGAGACAACTGTTTAGTTATTATAATATGATTATTATCTACTTTGTTTTAAATAAATATATGGAACGATAATTTGTCTCTTGCCTCGTAAATATTCTTGTAGGAACAATTCCATTATCAAAGACGGTCATTTCGCTTCTATTTTAAAGAGATTAATTCGGCAGTAAAACGCCCTGTGTTTCATAACAGTTTTAACAAATAGAACGAATTCCGTTGAAAATATTCAGGCACGGCACGGAATTTAATTAGCTTTCACGCGCGTTATGAACGGTCGCGCCGGCTTGAAATTAATGTTTTAGCCAATATAAAATATTTAAAGGATTACACCTCTCCGCACCCCACGATTGTATCATGTAGCGGACGAGCGAGTATATGACGTAAATTAAAACGTAACGCGGCTTTCAACGCGGCAGGTCGCACGCGTCCGAATATTCGCGCCGGTGCATTCTGCGTCAGTACGAATATTTATCGTAAAGGAGATTTGCGTGTAAAAATGTATAGCGGTGATTAAAAGAGAAACGTGCATTGCATCGATAATTAAGCGTAAAATTAGATTCGGTGAGCGCGTTTCTTCCTTCAAAATAAATATGTATATACCTTTATTGTATGAAACTTGTATATAGTTGTTATCTATATAGTTGCCTGTCACTATGTCTTTTTTCTGATGCCAATATTCATAGTCCGTTCTTATTTTAAGACTGTCTTAAGTAATGCCTTAAGATGCTAATACGGCTCTATAGGCGATATTCATAGTCTGTTCTTATTTTAAGATCGTCTTAAGGTCTTAAGATGCTAATACGGCTCTTTGATTGATTCATGACATCTTAAGATTATACTTAAGATGATCTTAAATATAAGATTCAACTATAAATACCGGCTTGTGATTGGTTCATGATATCTCGAGACTGTACTTAAGTCTCTTAAACATAATAAGAGAGAACTGACTATGAATATATCGGCTTGAATGTAATTTGAAATTATTGCCAAATTGTTGCCATCTTTGTTACCAATTTCCAAATCGTGGTTAAACTATTTAATAAAAGCTACCAAATTTTTTTATTATATTAACTTATATAAACATTGAATTGAAACTACTTCATCAAAGCAAATTTAGTAATCTAAGCTTCATTATTATTATTAAATTTGTTTTCAGTACACTGAAAAAAGAGTCTGGTAATACTAACAACTAAATATTGAATGAAATATTTTTAATCAAACATTCGATTAATATAACAAAAAAATTTTACTTCTATACTTTTATTGTCTAAATATTTAGTAAATATTACAAACATAATAATTGAATAACCTTTAACGGCTGGCACGGCGCAGCGATAATAAGTAATTGTTTGACATTTTTGATAAAGTATAACTGAATGAGTCCAATAGACCCCTCGTCAGCTTCAGAGGGTTAATAGGAACGAATGTATAGACTTAAGAGCATGTACGCGCTGTGATATCATAACGTGGAAGCCAATATCACCATATCCGTCTTCATTGAGCATTACTTGCAGTTACCATCATAATATATGTTCCGCGTGCTTTTCGATCTTTCGGAAAGCACGATTCGCGCACGGCGGTCTACCCTTGCGCACGTATGTACATGAATAGCGGTATAACAGCGAGGACGAACGATAAACTAAT